GATAATATTAATATTTTACCTTCTCAAACTGGACATCAAGTAAGTGATCCTATGTTACAAATTTACTCAAATGAGTTTCGTTTATTAAAACTACCGACTTTCTGGCATAAGCAACCTAAACTCTGGTTTGCTTCTATTGAAAGTGAGTTTACGGTTTATCGAATTCGATCAGATGATATTAAATATAGTTCTGTCATTCGTCATCTTGATGAACAAGCCTTAATAAACATATCTGAAGTCATTGAAAATCCACCTGAAACAGATAAATATAATTATTTAAAGAAAATATTAATAAATCGCTTTACGGATTCAGAAGAAAAACGTTTGAGACAAATATTAGCTGGAATTGAACTTAACGATAAAAAGCCTTCGGAATTACTTCGAGAAATTCGTCATTTGTCTGGAGGATCTTTAGCGGATAGTGTTTTGCAAATGATTTGGCTTCAACGCTTACCACATAGAATTCAAACGACTTTAGCCGTAGTAGAAGACGTTCCTCTTGTTAAACTTGCGGAATTAGCCGATAAAATTGCTGATCGAGACGGCGGTTTGCAAGTCGCGGAAGTTTCCAATAATGCAAATAATAAATCTTCGGATTTCGCGGATTTGCTACGAAGAATCGAAGCTCTTGAAGTTTCTCGTCGTCGAGATCGTTCCAAAAGCCGGTCTAGAGAGAATAGAAGATTTAGATCGTTATCGAGTAACAAAGACAAATCAAATAAAGATATTAAAGATACATCAGTTTGCTTTTACCATAAGAAGTTTGGTGATAAGGCTAAACGATGTACTTTACCTTGTTCTATGTCCAAAACATTCTTGGCTTCACAGGAAAACTAAAAACGCCGTTTAAGACTGAGGCTGCTTACGACGGTGTTTCTAACAATCGCCTCATTATTTTCGACAGACATTCAAATTTGAATTTTCTTGTCGATACGGGCGCTGATATATCGTTGTTACCTAAAAGGGTTTTATTGAAGCCGTGGCATACTAATTTAAAACTTTTTGCCGCAAATGGTACTCAAATTAGTACTTACGGTTCTAAAACTTTAATTTTGAACCTCGGTCTTAGGAGAGAATTCAAATGGAAATTTTGTGTCGCGGATATTCAACGTCCTATTTTAAGCGCCGATTTCCTTTGTCATTTTAATCTCCTGATTGACATTAAAAACAAAAAATTGATTGATAACGTTACCGGTCTCATGAATACTGGAAAAATTCAAGAAGTTGCGCATTTGTCAATTTTTACCACATCTCCTGATTCTGTGTACCACAAATTTTTAACTGAATTTCCAGGACTCACCCGTTTTTCTCCAATTTCCTCGGTAAAAACGCATGGTGTTGAACATCATATCTTTACAGAAGGTTCTCCTAAATTTTCGACTCCCAGAAGACTTACTCCTGAGAAACTTAAATGTGCCAAGGAAGAATTCAAGTCTATGATGGAGCAAGGAATTTGCAGGCCTTCAAGCAGCTCCTGGGCAGCCCCTCTACATATGGTACCTAAAAAGGAACAAAATTCTTGGAGACTGTGTGGTGATTATCGTGCACTCAATTCAGTGACTATCCCGGATCGTTATCCCTTACCTTATATTCAAGATTTTTCTTCTTCACTTTTTGGTAAGAATATCTTTTCTAAAATCGACTTAGTTAAAGCGTACTATCAAGTACCCGTCGCTAAAGAAGATATTCACAAAACAGCTGTCACTACTCCATTTGAGCTTTTTGAATTTGTCGTAATGCCTTTCGGTTTACGAAACGCAGCCCAAACTTTTCAACGGCTCATGAACTCTTTACTTAATGATTTGAGTTTTGCCTTTTGTTATCTTGATGACATTCTTATCGTTTCTAAAGACGAGAAAGAACATATTGCTCACTTACGCATTATTTTTGATCGTTTTCAACAAGCTGGAATGACAATCAATGTCGCTAAATGTCTTTTCGGTCAAAGCGAGATTTCTTTTCTTGGTTACTTAGTTTCTAACCAAGGAGTTAAACCTACATCCGAAAAAGTGAAATCAATTATTGATTATCCTAAACCTAAGACATTTCATGAATTACGCAGATTCTTAGGAATTATCAATTATTATCGTCGCTGTCTTAAGGATGCTGCAAATCATCAAGCTCTGTTAACAGAATATTTAAAGGACAGTCGCAAGAGAGATAGAAGAATTATTTTTTGGACTAAAAAAGCGGAATTAGCTTTCGAGTCATGTAAAGAAGAACTTTTACAAGTTACTACCCTTTCTCATCCTGCTCCTCATGCTCCTCTTATTTTAACTTGTGATGCTTCTGACTTTGCTGTTGGTGCATCACTTGAACAGTCTATTGACAACGATATCAAACCAATAGCATTTTTCTCAAAGAAACTAGACAAAGCTCAAAGAAATTATAGCACTTATGATAGAGAACTTCTTAGCATTTATTTGGCTATTAAACATTTCAGGCATTTTGTTGAAGGAAGACAACTTATTATCAGAACTGATCATAAACCTTTGATTTTTGCTTTCCGTCAGAAATTGGATAAAGCGTCACCAAGACAGATCAGACAATTGGACTTTATTGCTCAATTCTCTACAAATATTACCTATATTTCTGGAAAAATGAATTCAGTTGCTGATGCTCTGTCAAGAATTGAATCTATTTCAATGCCTATTATAGTTTCTTTAGAAGAACTTGCTAATTATCAGAAAGAAGATGAAGAACTTCAAGTTTTACTTTCTTCAAATTCTTTACTTCTGTTAAAAAAACTTATTCTTTCAGGATCAACCATACCTATTTATTGTGATTGCTCTTCGGAATTAATTCGTCCATATGTTCCTAAACTCTTACGCAAGAGAATTTTTGATGTTGTTCATGGACTCGCTCACCCCAGCGGTAGATTGACATCTAAACAATTACTACTGAGATTCATTTTGCCTTCTTTGAAGAAAGATGCGAAAAAATGGACTCGAACTTGTCTTCCATGTCAGCGTGCGAAGATTTCAAGACACACCAAGAATTCTCCAATTAAGATTGCAATTCCTGATCAACGCTTTCAGCATGTGCATTTAGACATTGTTAGACCACTTCCTATTTGTCAAAATTACCGTTATTGTCTTACTATGATTGATCGTTTTTCCAGATGGCCTGAAGCTGTTCCTATTTCTGAGATTTCTGCTGAAACTGTTTCTACAACATTTTATTCACATTGGGTAGCGCGTTTTGGTTCTCCTATCAGCATTACAACAGATCAAGGTCCTCAGTTTGAAGCAGCTTTATTCAAAGCTTTAACAAACCTAATTGGCTGTCAAAGGATTAGAACTTCTGCTTATCATCCTGCTTCAAATGGAATTCTGGAAAGATGACATAGAACTTTGAAAGCAGCGATTATGTGCCACGAAACAACCAACTGGATAGAATCGTTACCTTCAGTTCTTTTGGGATTACGTTCGTGTTTCAAAGAAGATTTAAAAGCTTTACCAGCAGAACTTCTATATGGATCCACTCTTCGTATTCCTGGAGAATTTTTCATTGAAGAAGATTTTTCTGCAGATCCTGAAATCTTTCTTGAAAAACACAGGATTCATATGAGGAATATCAGATCATCTCCTACAAGTCATCATTGCAAAAGATCACCTTTCGTTCACAAGAATCTTTTTGATTGTACTCATGTTTGGATTCGAGAAGATGCTGTTAGGAAGTCACTACAACCTCCTTATTCTGGCCCTTTTCCTATTGAGAAACGTATCTCTGATCATTTATTTGCAGTTAACGTTTCAGGAAGAGTTGTCAATATTTCGACAGAACGTCTCAAGCCAGCCTTCATTCCTAGAATTTCAGATTCTACTGAACTTTCTACCAGATCTTCAGCTCCTGTTTCTGCTACTTCAAATCCTTCTTCTTCTTCTTCTTCTACTGTTGGAAAAGCTCTACGTACCTACCCACCAAAGAAGAAGAAATTCCATTTTGCAACGAATATCGTCACTTGGGGGGGAGTACTGTAGCATTCATCATCCACACCTTTCATTTACACTCTACACTTTTATTACACCTTACACTTTTCACTGCACTTTTACACTTTTTACATCTTTATACATTTGTAATAACTTCAATTCATTAACATATTTTTTTTTTAAGAAAAATATATATTTCCATAACAACACATTCATTCATTTATTTGTTATATATTAATTCTTTTTGTCTTTCGCTTTATACTTTCAATGAATAAACATTACTTTCTTTTTTTAAATCTGGTGAATTTATTTATAAGTCGCTACAGGCCGATTTCCCACGCCGTCATCTAACGGCGACGCGGTGAGTGAATAAACCGCATTCAAAGCCATTGCTTGCGGCTATTCCCGTACCGTGCCGTCGCAAGATGGCGGCGTGCGATCGGCCACCTCGCGCACAGAAAACGCGCACAAAGCCACTTTGCCTGCACTTGTAATACAAAATATCGTGTGTATCAAGTGCGGATTGACAATTGTTCACTCGTGTGGGATGGACGCACGAGCCGAAGGCGAAAATTAAAATTATTTACATAAAGAAATTAAGTAAATTAAATTTTGCACATAATACAAATTCAACATTAATGCAAAAGGTTTGCCCGCACTCGTGACCAATTGTCAACTTTCCGCACTTGATACACAATATACTATTGTAACGTTGTTACCGTTACAGTTACCAAAAAAAGTAACTGTAACAGTAACGGTTTTACAAGTAATGCGTTACTTCCCAACCTTGATTATTATATATATTATAAACTTTAAAATAAAGTGATAATTATACATTGTATCATTATGGAAAATTCCTATAAATATCATATATTATATTGTCATTTACTTATTGTTAGTGCAATTTTTTGATTTTACTACTTTTTGACGCTAATATTAAATTTTTTTTTTATATTATTAATAAAAATAAAATATAATTTTTAAGAAAGTATTATTGATGGTGATTAATTTTTGTAAGGAACTTGCTGGCGAAAGATATACTTAGTGTTTTTTTTTACATCTGTGACGTCTTTTTTAAAGGAATATATTTTAATGATTAAAGAATCATGATGATGAGGGCTTAGTGTTAAATATCATTTACATCTTTTATATTTTTAAATATAGTTTTATATTTTCTAATAAATATATTCTGATAATCTTAAGTCTTATAAATTAACGCGTTCATCGAATCGCGTTCTCCTATTAAAGAAAATTTTACTGAGCATTAGTCGAATCGTGTACATCTTGTAGCTTGAAAGTAATAACTCTCATCAAATTTTAATTAGCGTTATTAATTTTCTGGATGTTCAGGTACAGACCGCCACTTAATGGTGTTGTCGTAGGAGCTTTTGGATCAATTACCATTGGTATCAAAGTCCTTTCGCATGGCGTCACTTCGTATTTGCTCAAAATTTTAATAATCCCAAGTTTTGTTTGCAATAATCCCAAACGAGTACCTATGGTAGTATTATGATAATATACATTTTTAAGAAGTAAATTTTCTATTCACACACATGCACGCACACATACATACGCTCACAAATGTAAATGTGAAAAAGAATATAGGCAAGAGTGGAATAAAATTGTCCCCCGGTGGTATAAAGTGGTATCTTATACTTATCTCTGCAATTAGTGCTTTGTTATCTGCGTGTAGAATTTTACTTTTTTATTACTTCTGCCTCTGCCCTGCTATCACGTAAGTATTTGCTAAAATGATTGGACGTTTAGCAACATAATATATATTTAATTTTCTAATTATCTAATATAAGGTAATATAAAATAATATAAGGTAATATGTTATAAAGTAAGCTTCTTGTTTCATTTCACTGTACATCCTGTGATTACGAGAGATATTAAAAATTATTAAGTTATTATGTTGGTAAGATCCAGTTTTACTATATACTTCAATGAATATAGAAAATTCATAATAAGATAGTCTTCTCGTAGCCATTTTTTTTTTATAAAAATAGAGCGGTCGGGATAAAATGGTAAAGCGTTCTGGACGTTCATTTTATCCCAATTTTTAAATGCGTTACTCTGCGTTTTTGTTACAAATACAAAAATGCCAAATCATTCTCGCACAAAATTACAACAAAGCTTGAGCTTAACTAAAATTTCATGCTGTATAGTAGCGCCCTTATTTTGGAAAAATATCGATAATTATCGACTGACTTTCGAAGATAATTACTGATATTAAAGAGTTTTTGCAATACCGTTTTTTAGATACGGTGAACGCTAAAATCACATTATTTTGATCGAATCTTTGCAGTAGTCGTACATTCACGTTAATTATAAACCTTATTCAGTCAAAAATAACATCACACATTATTTGAATAGCGTTACGGTGAAAGATGCACTGCGCAATTTGTTTTTCGATCAAAATAACGTGACTTTAGCGTTTATCGTATCTAAAAGCCGGTATTACAAAAACTCTATTTTGAATTCCACATTATCAATTATCCAGGTCAAATGTATTAGAAATCTATGTATACATGGCACTCATGGAGTCATTTTTTGCTACGTTTAATACTATAGGTTTAAACGTAAATATATATTGTTGTTTTTCACTTTACTATACCTACAACGCACAAACACACACGTACGAATCGTAATACAAACTATACTTTTATATTAGACTTAAAGAGTAATAATGCTTTTTTTTGTGTACCTACATCAATCCTAAGGAACTTGTTTTCATATTTGTACGAAATGTATGTTTTTTATATAAAGCACATATTATGCTGAGTTCATAGCTCGTTTGCTATTCAAGAATCATTTTTAATTTAAGAATCCATATCGAAATAAAAATAAATAATGAAAACTGTAATCTTTTAATTATTTTTCGTTTTTTATATGAAATCGGAACTTTCTCGAATCATTGATGTATGTATGTACGTATTGCAATTGTAGAGAAGCATTTTTAATTCTGCCAAATTAATGCGACGAAAAACTAGAAGTACAAACATAATAATTTTGTCGATAAAACAGACAGTCGAGGGGGTCCCCTTAAAAAGAAGAAAAAAATATCTTTTCAATTTTGCAAAATTTGAGAAAGAAAGCAAAATTTATATACACATAAAAAGCTATATCATTTATCCTACTCTCTCCTATATCTGGAAATATGTTGATAATGAAAAATTAAGTGATTATATTTTGTTATGAAAGTGATTCCCTTACCTATGCATTGGCGCGGGCCTTCGCCGAATGGGAAATAGGCGCCTGACGATATATTACGTTTGTTCTCTTCGCTGAATCGTTCTGGATTGTATTTCTTCGGATTGGGAAAGTATTCCGAATCGTAATGCATGCCGAGCATCGATATATAAATCGGCGTACCTTTTTCGAGAACCAGATCGGAATTCGGCATCTTGTAGGTCTCTGTTGTTATGCGCTCCAAGAAGGGTAACGTCGGATATAACCTCAATGTTTCGGACACCACCATATCCAGATATGGTAGCGACATTACCTGACACAAGAAATCATCACATTTACATATATATACAAAGTGTAATAGCAAAAACATATATGGAATATTCCATCAAATTCTCTAACCAATTTGAAAACGATTTTTCCTGAACGAAAAAGTCGAAACAACTAATTTTCAAATTATAAATGATTGAAAAAGTTTATCCTAAATGAAACTTTGTGGAGTTAAAATATTAAAAAAACGACACTACATTCTTCAAATAATTTTAAGTAGAATATGCTTTAATAGAATTTTAATTTAAAATTTATTACAAGATAATGATGGCAAAAATATGGAACATAAAAAAAATAGATAGTTCAAAATGAGGTGTCTTGTTAGACTGTTGGTTTTATCTATTTATAATAATTTCAATTTAAAAAAAAAATTGTGTTAAACTGTGAGAAGAGGCGACACAAACGCCTATGGATATTAAGAATTTCTCGCTTAGAAACGAAGAAATAATTTACGAGATCCAACATCATAAGATCATATTACGGCGAATACTTTTATAAATTAAATATGACAAATTGTAACACGCATAAATTTCTAATAAATTCTCGACTTGAATTAACGGACTATTAGTAAGTTTAAGAATAGGATGATTTTTTTGTAAGAATTATAAATTACGTAACACTGTTATACTGAGGAAGACCGCATGCGGTTGAAACGTTTATATGGAAGGTTTTTTTGTAATTTTAATATATTGTTTATGAAATAAATTTTAATTGGATACAACATCTTAAATATTGCTCGATAAGTTGGCCTTTTTGAATAAATTTGTTGTTTTATACAATACACGAGCGAATAGAAATTTTAATTGATATAAAAAAAATATTTACCTATAAAATATAATAATATAATATAATAATTCATTACGCCATATAATGAAAATAAACAGGATATAAATAAAAAGATCTGAGATTATCAGATTTGTAAACTAATGTAAAATTCCTAAATAAGATAATGTTTAAGAAGATACTAACACCGTCTTGTTTTACCGAAAAAATGCTCATTTTTCTGCACTCTTTTCTTTTTATTGGTTGAATGGATTAATAAGTGATTTTCCACGATTAAAGTAAATTATAAAAATAAAGTTGGAATCTATCAATTTTACGTAAAAAAGGAAAAAATTAAAAATTTTTTGTTTTTAACATACTCAATAGGTTCTAACTTTTTTATATGTAGTTCAATCGTGAAAAAGCATTAATGATTCTATAAAACCAATAAAAAGAAAAGGAAGCAACAAAAATAATCGTATTATCAATAAAACAGAAGAGCGTTAGGATTTCCTTAAGGGAAAGAATATAACATATTATATTGATAAATACGTAATAATTTTTCGACGTACCATGTCATATGTGATACTGTCATTAGCTTTGTTGAGAGCGTCAAGAATTTCTTTCCTAAGTTTATTTTGAATCTCTGGTTGTATCGCGAGTTCATATAAAGTAAAAGTCATAGCCGTAGAAGAGGTTTCAAAACCGCCGGTAAAAAAAATAGCTGCTTGCGCTACTAGATCGTCACCGTCAAAATCTAAAATTAATTCACAAGTCACTCATTAAACTTTTGCTCTCTCTCTCTCTCTCTCTCTCACGTCAACTTTGTTTTAGTCAGCTAAAACTCTGTCTCATACACACATATGAATACATTACATATATTACATACATTAGATTTCACGCGACACGTAGACATCGGCTTATGAAGACTGTGAAAGAAATAAAAGACGAAACCGCATATAAGGAGGAAATTAAAATAATGGTCAAGAAAATAGTTCGAGAAGAATTTGGATGCATTAAACAAGAACTAGAAGACTTGAGAGAAATGATGCAAGGAGGAGTGTGTGAACCAGCAGGAGGAACTCAGAAAAGTTATACTGAAGCAATTAAGGAGAAGAAAAAAGAAAATATTATAATTGTCAAACCCAAGGTGCAACAGGAGAGTGAAGCAACAAAAAAAACTGATAAAAGAAAAGGTAGATATCAAGAATATGGCTATGGAAATAACGAAGGAAGTAAGAGAACAGTGATTCTCGGCTGTGAGACTGGAGAAGAAATGGAAAAATTAAAGGCGACAGACAAGCCAAGTTGGGCGAGAATTTTAAAGTTACTGAGTCACCGCGGATGAAACCTAAGATAAAAATTGTCAATATTGGCGAGGAAGAAATAAAATTGAATGATGATGATTTAATAGGTACGATTAAAAAGCAGAACAAAATGGATGTGGAAAATGAAGAAATTCATATGCGGATAATGAAGAAAATAGTTAAAGAGAAAAGAAATGATAAAAATCAATCCGAAAGAAGAGAAAAAGATGTGTATCGTAATAATTGAAACAGATGAAGAGAGTCATGAAGTAATGTTGAGCAAAAGGAAACTAAATGTAGGATGGAGAAAGTGTCCTGCATTCAATCACATTAACATTAAAAGATGTTTTAAATGCTATGGGGTTATTATATAGAAAAAAATTGTACGTGTAATGAAACATCAACGTGTAATGTCACAGACGTGCAGGAGATCATAATGTGAGTGAATGTACAGCGACAAAAAAAAGATGTATAAATTGTGTGTTTAAGATTAAAACATACAATTTGAAAATAAATGATGAACATGACGCACTTGATCCGGAATGTCCGACTTTCAAGAGAGCGATACAGGAGGAGAAGAAGAGGGCCGGCTAGGAGGAAGCTAAATAGCAACTACAGAAGGAAACGGAATTAATACTATATACAAATGCGCAAAGTTTGATGGCGCATCTGGACGAGATACAGCATCAGATTATGAAGAAAATGAACCCTGCGTTCGTAGCATTATCAGAAACTAGAGTGACTGCTGAAATTGAAGACTTTGAAATGAACGTACCAGGTTATAGTATGATTAGATGTGATGCTGAAAACAGAAATATAGGAGGGGTTATTTTATATATAAGGGATGATATTAAAATATGAGATAGTATTTATTAATAAAAATGTTAGAAGCGAATTGTTGGTGTGCTGCGATTGAAGTAAAAGATAAATTCAATATAAAAAAACTGTTAATCTCCGCTCGAATTATTGTGTTACAATAAAAATAAAATCTCGACGGCAATCGGAGCCTGTGCGGATGACATGCACAAAATTAATAAATTAAAATGAGATCTCAAATCAAACTCATTTATTAAATTCTAAACGTTTCGACCCACTTCGGGTCTTCTTCAGTAGCTGCAAAATACAAAGAAACAAAAATAGAAGATAATCGGTACAATCAGAAAATTATAAACTCGTATACATACAATCCGCAAATAAATTAAATATCATTCTCCTCCCTATTCAAACCGTCCGGCCGTCGGAGTGTCTCCCTAACGGTGACCATCGTCAGGAAGGAAGCAGAGCAGTGACTCCCTTACCAACACTAATCAACATAGTATAAATTAAACGTAGAACAATCCACAAGAATTAAAAATTAAAAACCGGGAAGAACACTCACCCCGACAGCAAAAACAGAGAGAAGACGATGCTACACGTGACACATCACTCTAACGACTGTGCGGTATTCTACCTCGACACAGTCGATACATATATACGCAAAAAACAAATATAAAAATAAAATATGAAAATAAAATAAAAATAAAAATAAAAACAACTAAACTAATCGGCACTCATGTCAAAGGTCTAACAAAAAAACCCGGCTATGTATAATCACAAAGCTAGATTTTGGTAAATTTTTCTATTAACAGATCAAAATTCTCGTTTAATTTATCAGTGTCGCTATGTAAATTTAAACTATTCCTCTGACGTTTTATGTGGATCATTTCGGATATCAAACGTTTACCTAAAAAAGGCTCCTCGTCTAAGACTTTTACATCCTCCCAATTAAATTCATGGTTCAATAATCTATGTTCCGATATGACTGATAATTGTGACGCGTTTCTTTTTATGTTGTTGCGATGTTCTTTCATCCTAGTTTTCAACAATCTACCCGTCTGCCCTACGTACGACGCATCACAATCCATACAATCAATTTTATAAACTACATTGTTATGGAGTTCCCTTGGTAACTTATCCTTGTGTACTTTAATGAATTTACGGAGACTGTTAATTGCTGTATATGATGGAATGACATCCAAATCACGTGTAATGTCCTCGATTCTCTTCGATACATTATTAATATACGGAATATTAAAGTACGAAACTTTTTTCTGCGTTAGAATCTTGTCATTGCATATATTTGCTCTATTGTTATGCAACTTATTATTATAGCGGAAGAACAACTTTTTTAACCGCGCTTGCAATGTTTGAAATATCAAATTGAGAGGATAATTATTAGACAAAAGAACTCCAATCATAGACTCAAAGTTAACTTTATGGAATTTCGGATGAGATAGCCAAAAAACTCTATCTATGAGGCTGATAATGGTGCCTTTTTTATGACAGAGAGGATGCTGCGATTCAAAATTTAAATATCTACCTGAATACGTCGGCTTATGAAACAAATCAAACTCAATGCTCCCATTATTTATAATAATGGTGACATCTAAAAAATTCAATCGGTTGTCAACCCCCTCCTCCATGGTGAACTGCAATCTAGGATGGAAAGAATTGAAAGTGTTTAAAACAATTTTAAGCATGGAGGGTGGGGCCGCCAACGCGATATCGTCAACATATCTAAAATAAAATGGAAATGACAATGGAATCGCAGCAATCGCTCTACTCTCCAAATCTTGCAACGTGATATCCGCAATGATCGGTGAGAGGGGGGAACCCATAGGCGTGCCAAAAGTCTGTTGATAACATACATTATTAAACATAAAATAAGTCGAGTTCATAATAAAACGAATTGCCAATAAAAATTCATCTCGTGGAATAATACACTCTTTTTCAATATACCCCCATCTGTTAATTAAACTATCAATAGCCATATCCAATGGTACGTTGGTGAACAATGATGCAACATCTAGTGAAACTAGCTTCACATCACTATCCACACATAAACCATTTAATTTGTTCACTAATTGGAAACTATCAGAAATAGCCGAATCAGGTTTCGGAATTGCCTTATATATTATCTTATGTAAAAATTTTGCCAAGTAATAAAGAGGTGTATTCCTAGATGACACGATGACACGTAAAGGGCAATTCGGTTTATGCACCTTCGGCAGACCATACGCTCTCGGTAAAACCCCGTCCGTGCAGTTCAGGGATTTATATGTTGTTGAAGAAATGTAATTCTTCATTTTCCATCTCATTAAAATTCCGTGTAATTGATTAATTAGGTTCCTAGTCGGATCTTTTTTAACAACAGTATAAGTATCCCGGTCAGCCAGCAAATCACACATTTTGTCCATGTACATATCCCTGTTCATCGCAACCGTGATATTACCCTTATCCGCCTTCATAAATAAAATATCGGGATTGTCTTGGATGAATTTACCCGTCAATTTGTAAGCCTTACAAAAACTATTTTTTGTGTGAGCTTTTTCTGACATGGAAATATGGAATTTATTTATTATGGGAAAGGCTCTATTTCAGACTGCAGATCGTTTTTCCACAGGGAGTTTAAAAATATTTTGTTCCATATTTTTCAACAACTCTATGGTGGTTTTATCTTTGTCAAATACTGGCAGACAAAAATTCTCTCCTAACCGCAACAAATCGCGAATTTCATACGGTATCGATACGGATGATAAATTTAAAAACCATTTATCTCTTTTGTCAGCAACATCAGGATTTAAAGAAACAAAGGAAGTCGGGTTCAAGGAAACGCTGAGAGACTGAGACGGCCCTGACTCACATGGCCTTGAAGAAAATTCTTTCGTACACGTGTAATAATATTGGATAGGACGAATATTCCTATTATTGAATTTATTTTGTTTATCTAAGAGCCATCTAAATTTATCATCCAGTCGAACCCGCTCCTTATTATAAAAATAATGTAATGATCCGCTTTGCTCACCGAAAAACCCATCACAATAACACACTGGGAGATCTATCATGATGTAACGAACGAGTTCATAAATATCTAATCTGACTTTGTGCCTCTGTCTATGAGCATCATAAATTTCATTTCTTAAAATGTCTTTAATAGTACGTCTTATAATAAATTTGTGTTTCAATACAGACTTATAATGATATAAATTATTAGCATAACGAGAAAAAAACATAAGATGAGACGGTGTAACATCCTGATTTAAACAATCTTTTAAAAATTTAATTTGCAAGTTTAATCTAATCAGACTCTTGTTTAATTTAATCCAATCCTTCAAATGTTTGACCGTGCTCCAATTAAAACTGTGTCCAACAAATTGGAAGAAATTTCTCAACGGACGCATTATTACAGCCAGCGTAAATTCAATATAAAAAAATTGTTAATCTCGGCTCGAATTATTGTGTTACAATAAAAATAAAATCTCGACGGCAATCGGAGCCTGTGCGGATGACATGCACAAAATTAATAAATTAAAATGAGATCTCAAATCAAACTCATTTATTAAATTCTAAACGTTTCGACCCACTTCGGGTCTTCTTCAGTAGCTGCAAAATACAAAGAAACAAAAATAGAAGATAATCGGTACAATCAGAAAATTATAAACTCGTATACATACAATCCGCAAATAAATTAAATATCATTCTCCTCCCTATTCAAACCGTCCGGCCGTCGGAGTGTCTCCCTAACGGTGACCATCGTCAGGAAGGAAGCAGAGCAGTGACTCCCTTACCAACACTAATCAACATAGTATAAATTAAACGTAGAACAATCCACAAGAATTAAAAATTAAAAACCGGGAAGAACACTCACCGACGACACTGATAAATTAAACGAGAATTTTGATCTGTTAATAGAAAAATTTACCAAAATCTAGCTTTGTGATTATACATAGCCGGGTTTTTTTTGTTAGACCTTTGACATGAGTGCCGATTAGTTTAGTTGTTTTTATTTTTATTTTTATTTTTATTTTCATATTTTATTTTTATATTTGTTTTTTGCGTATATATGTATCGACTGTGTCGAGGTAGAATACCACACAGTCGTTAGAGTGATGTGTCACGTGTAGCATCGTCTTCTCTCTGTTTTTGCTGTCGGGGTGAGTGTTCTTCCCGGTTTTTAATTTTTAATTCTTGTGGATTGTTCTACGTTTAATTTATACTATGTTGATTAGTGTTGGTAAGGGAGTCACTGCTCTGCTTCCTTCCTGACGATGGTCACCGTTAGGGAGACACTCCGACGGCCGGACGGTTTGAATAGGGAGGAGAATGATATTTAATTTATTTGCGGATTGTATGTATACGAGTTTATAATTTTCTGATTGTACCGATTATCTTCTATTTTTGTTTCTTTGTATTTTGCAGCTACTGAAGAAGACCCGAAGTGGGTCGAAACGTTTAGAATTTAATAAATGAGTTTGATTTGAGATCTCATTTTAATTTATTAATTTTGTGCATGTCATCCGCACAGGCTCCGATTGCCGTCGAGATTTTATTTTTATTGTAAAAGATAAATTGTATAAGGGAGTGATAACAGTAATATATCATTCACCGAGTTCATCGCATGGTGATTTCGTGAGATTTCTGGAGGATATAATAAAAGAATTAATACGAGGAGAATGTATAGTAATAGGAGATTTTAACATAGATATTATGTTGGATTCATCTTATACAAGGAAGTTGCAAACGACAATGTTGAACTTGGGCATGAAACAATATGTAAATAAACCGAGAATGACGAAAGATAGTAGAACAATTATAGATTTAATTTATGGTAATAATAAAATAGAAGTGCAAGTAATTCATGAACCTAAAATAACGGATCATGCGTGGTTAAAAGTTGATCTTAGTGCGAATAAAATTAGTAATAAATACAGAGAATTTAGTGCTAGGAATTTTAAAGAGTTTAATGTAGATGAATTTATTAATTTAGTGGAAAATAAATTAGAAAAAAGCAAGGATATGTGTGAATGTCAGTGCAAGAGCAAAAAAACGTGACATAGTAAAATCTATAGGTAGAGATAAGTTAGAAAGTCCAGGTAAAAGAATTATTTTTGTTATTGAAAGCGAGGGAATAATGGAAAATTTTGAGATGGTTAGAATAAAGCAGTTAGAAAAAATTGTTATGGAACTACTAAAAAAGAAAAGTACGGAAGAGGGAATAACTATTGATATATTTAAAGCAGTATTGTATGTAATAAAGGAGGAATTTATTAATATAATAAATAACTCTTTAAGACAAGGTTGCTGTCCAAAAGGTTGAAAAACGTCTACGATAATCGATAACCGATAAACGATAATCGATTCCAAAAATAGAAAAAAACAGAAAAGCAAGTAAATTTAGGCCTATTAATATGTTACCAGTATTTGAGAAAGTGTTAGAATTAGTAGTTAAAAAGCAAATTGAGACGATGTGTGTATATTTATTTTTAAGATTTTAAAGAATATGTTACCAGGTCAATTAAGAAATAAATTAACAGTAATAGGAAATGACAGTGAAAGACAGACGCGATAAGCAGGGAACATTGTAATGCAATTTTGCAGAACAACGAATGCATAGAAGAGTATGTTTTATGAAGGAGTGAAAATGTTTAATACCTTACCAGCTGAAATGAGATGAATTGATGAGTTTGAAGCGTTTAAGCGAGCGTTAAAGGAGTTTATTGTAATTAATGTTAATTTAATTTGTATTTTACAAATAGCTGAGAAAGCTAATAAAGATCAATCAATCAATCAATCTCTCTCTCTCTCTTCCTCTCTTAAGCAAAAAATATTTTTTACTTACTGAATCCTTCGATATTCTGATCACTGTTTTTCAGTTCGATAAGAATATCTATAAGATCATTTTTCTTCACACCAGACTCCAAGCGTTGATTTATTGTCTCCCAGAAGACTTTACGTAGGAATCTACTGGATTCTCTGCCGAACGTCTTTATACCAGCCAAACGAACTATATGTGGAAAGAAGAACATCGCCAATATCTCAAAACCGCGGACGTAGCTGCACTCGAAGATTATTTTACCATACTTTCGGAATTCGGCGTTCGGATTATTCAACGAATTTACATTGAGTCCGTATGCGGTGCAACCGATCATGTCCGTAGCGAATTTAGCGGTTAAGTCTTTCACGTCTATCTCCTTTTTTGCATCTGTCAACACAGTAATGCTAGATTTGAGATATAAGTATACACTTTGTGTAGGAGTAATATCCCTGATAAAAAAATCAATAAAAAAATAGAAAACAATTGCGTCGTTTTTAATCGTAATCGTTTATAATTATGATTAATAACAATTGATTACGATACATTTTCAATCATGTTTATCAATCAATTCCAACAAAACGATAAAAAGCAATATATTATATAAGAATATTATCGTATATACATATATATATATATATATATAGATATATAGATAAAGAATTTTATTGACTATAAGAATTTTATCGTATTCTAACAACTGAATCCGATTAATAACAAAATATGAAAGAAAACGATAAGAAACAATAACATTTCTTTCAAAATATGAAAAATAAAACAATATGTTATGATAGGAAACGATAAAATTTTTTACAAATCCTATCGGTTCCTAATGTTTTCTATCGATTTTTTTATCATGGATATGTAAGCATCAATTCGTAGAGAATGAATTGCCAATTGCTGATACCTTTGATACATGCATCAAGCTCGGCTCGGTATTCAAGGCAGTGCTCATTCCAGTAAGTATTGTATATATATAGTTCAATGGATGTACGTATGAGATCGGTAAGCTCCTTTCCATTACGACTTAACTTGATGCACATCTCAAATTTGATATCAGCGGTCAATCACATTCTGTGTGTGTGAATTGATTTTAATATATATTACTTATATGTATATATATAAAGTATACTTATACGACGAAAAAGTCAATTTGGATATTCTTTCGAATGTGATCCATCAAATGAGCATCGTAAGAACTTAAAGCGTGATAAAAAACAAATATAAAATAATATTTTGCCACGGCAAGTTTGGTATTAATTTTTTTCATGTGTATTGAAATTTTATAAATTATCAAACACATACATTTACATAAGAATAACTCATTTAAATGTTGTCATGGTCTTTATTCTGACTAGTCTTCAAAAGATTTTAAGTATTGCTCATCTTTTTTAGGAAAAAAAAAAAACAAAACTTTATTTATATTTGAAATAAAGCAAATTATTTTCACTAAATCAGTTACACGTATTACATTTACAGTAAACATCGATCATCTATACTAATTTCTGCTGGTTACTTCACACGATGAACATGAACATAAGTAATAATGGCTACTGTACAACCAAATGCAGATCCCTTGGAAGCTACTTAGAATTTAGGTAAGCTTCTATACAATGCGACTACCGATTAAAAAACATGTATTAATTGGGCACAAAGTGTTAAATTATTTTCTATAAATTATACACATCCTACAAACGGAAAAGAATGTATGAAAGTGCCATCTACTCGAGGATGCAGCAATTCAAATACATCAATTAATCTTCGATATTGATGTAGAAAACCGATCAAATCGATCGATCATTAGCCGAAAAAACATAGTTTAAGTTCCAAAAATGATTAATGGAGAATATAATTTTGGCTATGTACTTATTCTTATATATAAATTGAATAACACTAATACAATCAACGAAATAAGAGTGGATCGAGACATAAAGATTTTACAAGAAACATTCCCAGATATATTTTCCTACTGCAGTTAGTACTCCTCCACTTTTGGAAAATATAACTTAAAACTAAAATTTGGTTTGGTTTAAGTTATATCAGTGAAAAATAAAATTGTTCATAGGGGAGCGGAATCTACCAAATTAGACAGCACTTATCATAAGTTTTTAATTTAAACTTTTGCATAGAAAGTTGTAAATCCATATGAAACCTCGCTTCGTGTGGAAAAATATAAATCCATGTGGAAGCTCACTTTGCGTTAAAAGTGTGTGCATGGAGCACCGTGTGTTGCACCCTCCCTGTAGGGAGGGGGGGGGTTTTCACTGCCAAAAAACCAGACACATAGGTTTGAGTTGAACCTTTGCATGGAAATTTGTAAACAAGTTGCCTTCACTTGGACACAGTTTAAATGGACACAGTGCAAATGAACACAGTGCAAATAGATATGAAATTTTCTACACGGTTTAATAGGACACAGTGCAAATTGACACGAAATTTGCTACACAAAGTATTAGACTGTTAAAATATATACAATTAATTTGTATACCATTAATTTACACGCCATTCATGTGTACACCAAAAGTTGTACACCGAAAGTTATACACGGAAAGTTCTACACGGAAAGTTGTACACGAAAAGTTCTACACGGAAAATTAAGAAAAAGATATATATTTGCACACATGATACTATTGTCTACAAACCGATTGCCTACAAGCTTTATTGCGCACAAATAAGAAATTAAGAGACAACATACGTTTGCACACAAACTATTGCACAAGCTGCATTGCATATATGATATCGTACTATTGAATCAACAATTGCCTTTTTAAAATAATTCTTTAGAATGGAATGTTGCAAACGCGTGGAATGTTGTGTGGAACCTCGCCTTCGCGTGGAAAAATGTATGTGTGGACACAGAGGGTTCCGCCCCCTGCGGGGGGCTCCACTATCTAAAAACTATACAAATAGGTGTAGGTTGAACCTCGATTCGTGTAGAAAGTTGCAAACCCATGTGGAACTTCGTCTACATGTGGAAAAGGTTGGCAATCAATTTGTAGGCAATTGGGGCCCTCCCCTTTTCGTGTAAAACTTTCCGTGTACAACTTTTGGTATACAACTTTTGGTGTACAACTGAACGGTGTACAAATAAACGGTGTAGAAATTTCGGTGTACAAATAAACGGTCTATATAAATTAACAGTCAACAAATTAATAGTGTATATCTGAACAGTGCCTAATATTCTGTGTAGAAAATTTTGTGTCCATTTGCACTGTGTCCAACTGAACCGTGCAGAAATTTTTGTGTCCATTTGAACTGCGTCCAAATGAACTACTCCCGTTGTAAACTTATGTGAAATTACTAAAATTTAAAATTTGATTTGGGGTTAAATTATAATTTGCGATAGTGTACGAGCATGCAAACCACTCCACCCATATCCCAGAAATGAATTATAGGTGTACAAATAAGTTTGTATTACATGTGCATGCAAAGTGGCACTTTCCGTAAGCGATTTCTGTACGCAAAATAACAATTTGTCAACATCTACCTACAAAATATTCCACACATTTTGGGGTGAAATGGTAGACCAGTGGGTTAAGTCGTAAGACAGTATTCCTAAGGTCCCAGGTTCGAATCCAATTTGAGTCAATCACCCCACATGCCTGCCAGGAAAAAGGTGAAGAAGGAGGAGATGGAGAAGTGAGGAAAAAGAGGGAGGCAGGTTCGGCTGGAAGGAGAAGGAGAAAATGGAAAAAAGGAAGGAGAGGAATTGGAGACAAGGAGTAAAGAGATGGAAGAAGGAAGAAAAGGGAGAGAAGGTGTGAATGGAATAAAAGGGACTGTAGAGGTTTGGGAACGCTCCTATCAGAAAAAAGCGCCAGAGGGAATTGATATGGAATTGTAATGAGTGATTAGAGGAGGATTGTAAAGGTTCGGAAACGCTCTTATCAGAAAAAAGCACCGCATATGTAACATATTGTAACGAGAAAAGAAGGATGTAAGGGGTTTGGCGGTCCCTTGAAAACGCCCCGGCAACCTCTAGGGGAGTCCGGAATAAACTTGAATTGAATTGAATTGAATATTAAATATTTTATAATTTATTATGTTACTGTTACTTTTTTCACTTTTAATGAACAGAGAAATTGAACTTTATTTAAAAAACCACTCCTCAATGTTTAAAGTCGACCAGACTGGCAATAATTTATTATTGAAATTTATTTATTGCAATTTGTCTTGTGAAATTCTTTATGTCTCGACATTATATAATATGTATATATATTTGATAAATTTTATCGAACATACCGTCCACCCTCAAAGATTTTAGATGCATGTCTAAATTCTCAGCGCATTCAAGCATCAACTCGAACATTTTCTTCAACTTGCCAGACGTAAAGATCGGGGTCAACTTTGTTCGTAACATCTTCCAGGCTGGATTTTTTAGGAAGAAGAGATTAGCATAACCCAAACGATCATTTGGATCAGGAGAACCGTGTCGATCAGCAAAGTAATTAAAGTCCTTTACTAAGATATTTTTGATGATTTCTCGATCGCGAATTAAGAGAAAGGGTTTGTCTAAAACGTAGAAGCCGATGTAAGGTAGTCTCTTTGCCTGATCATAGAAATTCTTCATGAGATAGCCAGGAGATTTCTTTAACAACGCGCATTCAGTGAAATTGCCCAAGAACGGCATCGGCGAATTTATTTGTAAAACGCCTCGTCTCTTCCAGTAGTTGAATTTGCGAGTCATGTAAAAATAGGCGGCTACGATGAGAGCCGTTAAAGCTATCATGCCGTCTAAGTCCCAGTAGGGCGTAATAAATGCCATTTTGACAGCTCGTGTTTATAAACAAATTTATTCTCTTTATCTACAAAATAGAAGATGAATCGATCAAATTCATCGGTTTGCAGACTGAAAGAATTTTTAATAATATAATATAATAATTTATTAAAAATATATAAATAACATATAAATAATATATACAGGGTGTTCCAAAAGTATGAGTATTCCTGAAAATCTCGTGAGGACGACGTTTTTAAAAAAAAGTTAAGAGGTAAAACCACTCTAGAGGCAGAAAAAAGACCTAAATTTGACTATTTATTTTGGGAGTATGACAAACGGAATAGAATTTCTTTTCAGAGGGAGCTTTTTTTGTAAACAATTTAATGCTCATTTTTAGAGCAAAAAAATCAATTTATTTCTTAAAAAGTGCACCACTTCCACAAAAATTAATTAAAAAAAAACGCTACGTACTTCCAAAGCCAATTGTATATAGATTATACATTTTTTTAATTTTTTGTTCCAGAACTCATACATGCCGAGAAATCCGTCCTCCCGTTCAAAAAAGCTATTTTCGACGACGGGCTCTGTTGCCGCCATTTTGTATAAAAATGACAATAAAAAAAAATTGTTTTTCATACTTCAATATGTGTTAAATAAACCCTCTGAAAAGAAATTCTATTCCGTTTGTCATACTCCCAAAATAAATGATCAAATTTAGGTCTTTTTTTCTGCCTCTAGAGTGGTTTTACCCCTTAAATATACAAGTTTTAGGATTTGAACGTGCGCACACGATGGTGCTCTTGAACTTGACCTTAAGATCAAATCAAGGTCAACTTGATTTTTTTAAATGGGACTATCTATTTTTGATATCAGAAATAGAAAGAGCGGAAAATTTCACGTTCAAACATATGTTGTGATGAAGGATCAGGATGACCTTCGGGGGTCATTTTAAGGTCGAAATAATTTTTCCACGATTACGCGAAACAATTGGAGGAGATTTAAAAAAAAATAACAAAACTCCGAAAATAGAAAACTTCGTATCTAATAATCGACGCACACCCAAATCATAATGTGGTACAGCTCCATCTAGTTGGTACTATATTTGATTGAAGTTATCCTTTCCAATCCATCTGACAGCTGGGATAATTTTATGAGTCACTATGTCTTCGTATTTAGCTGCAGTTAAATTATCATTGATAAAAAAAGGACCGATTAAAATATCATTTAGTACTTTTGCCCAGACATTCAATTTTTGAGGGTATTGTATTTAAGCTTCCAACATCTAATTTAGATTACCGTTTAATTGGTAATGTCAATATAATTACAGATTCTAGTCTGATGTTATTTTAAATTGGATGTTGGAAGCTTGAACGCAATACCTTCAAAGATTGAATGTCTCTACGGGAGTACTAAATGATACTGTGATCTCATGGTGAAATGTATTACTTAAAATCAGTTAAAAAATAATTGACTAAAGAATGATAATGACGGATTCTCTCTTTTAACTTGATGCTTCTGAATTACAGCTGATCTTTTTAAATTTATCGTTTGTCACTATCCGAATAAAAATTTTCCTCTAAAAAACTATACAAAAAATTCTTTAATTATTTTTAAAGGACAATGTTAAAAAATCCCGATTTTTGACCCTCGGAGAAATGGATAAAATCTATTCCATACATTTTTCACACATAAATATAAACCAAAAAATTTTCCACACATAAATATAAATATAAACTACACATAAATATAAACCTAAGACCGCAGAGAACTTTGAGGAAATTTTCTGGCAAACTGTTTGACTTGCTAAGTAAAATGTTAAAACGAGACCACTTTTCAGTTTCTAACGTTGATCCAAATGCAATGAACTAATTATCTTCTCACAGCTTAAAAGCCTAAAATAATCTGTAATAATAAATGGAAGGCATATGAAGGTTCGTGCGTGCGTGCGTGCGTGTATGCGTGCGTGCGCGTGCACGTGCCTTCTGCATACTTTTTCTGCAAGTAGGATATCCAATAGTATAAGTAATATCACACACATATTGCCATGTTATCAATAATGTCGAAAGATCACGTCAAAGATCGTTAATGTCGCTTCAGGAAGATTCCTTTAGTTTTTGACCATTTCATCCCAATCACATCACCCATATGGGGAATATGATAAGCTTTAAAGCTCAGAACTGAATCTTCAAACACCTTCTATTCATTATAAGATTATTTTAGGCTTTTAACACCTTATTTATCAAGTCAAACAGCTTGCCAAAAGTTTTCCGCAGAGTTCTTCACGGTCTTAAGTGTATTTTTGATTTGTATTTATGTGTGGAAAACATGGAATAGGTTTTATCCATTTCCCCGAAGAACAAAAAATCAGGATTTTTTAACATTGTCCTTTGTTTTAAATATTTATTCCCTCCTTTACTCATAAGTTATAAGATGGCACATCTTTGAGACGGAGAGAGAATAGCCTTGCTCATGATGCGCGAATGGGGTCATCGTCAGAGGTCCTATAATGAAATTAAGCAACATTTTAACAAAACTTTTCGTAATAAAGGCGTATCCCTGTGAAAGACTACTATAATGAGGACGATCAGGCGTTATGAAGAAACTGGTAACAAAAAAATCATGTGAAATTAGAACGACTAAAATCTGCAATGACCGAAGAAATGCAATTGGATATTGCACAATCGTTTATTGAAAATCCTCATAAAAGTCTTCGTAATATAAGTTAGCAACATGATATAGGCGTAATGTTTGTGCAAAGAATTACGAAACAAATAAAATTTTATCCGCATAAAATTCATCTTATACAAGAGATGAGTGAAGATGATTTTGATCGTCGGGTTGAATTTTGCGAAATTATGATGGAATGAATAAATGCTGATCCCAATTTTGTTTTTAACATTGTGTATTCAGACGGCGCTACATTCCAGTTAAACGGTAATATCAATAACCATAATTACAGATTCTGGTCTGATGTTAATCTATGTTAAGTGAATGTTGGAATCTCGAACACAATACCCTCAAAAATTGAATGTTTGGGCGGGAGTACTAAATGATACTTTGATCGGTCCTTTTTTATCGATGATATATTAACTGCAGCCAAATACAAAGACATGCTGACCCATAAAATTATCCTAGCTGTCAGACGGATTGTAGGGAATAACTTCAATCAAATATGATACCAACAAGATGGAGCTGGACCACATTATGGTTTGGGTGTGCGTCAGTTATTAGATACAAAGTTTCCTAATCGATGGATTGGCAAAAGAGGGGAAATCGTATGACTAGATTTAATACCACTTAACTATTACTTATGGGGTCACCTGAAGAGCAAAATTTACAGTACGTCACCGAGAAATTTATAAGAACTTTGCTAGAGAATCCTTCAAGAAGCTGCCCTTATCAATCCAGATTCCATCAGAAATGCAGTATCTGCCTTCTATGATAGAATAGCCCATTGTCAGACTGTCAATGGTGCATATTTTGAGCATTTATTATGAAAGAATACTGTATGTTATGCTGGTGTTTGGCTGGATCAAAGATCGATCTTGCCTTAACCGACTAGATCAAAAACCGATCTTGTCTTAACCGGCTGGATTACAAAGATCGATCCTCTGTTGTACATACAAAAACACACCCGATGCACAAAATCTGACCAGTAACCTTCCCGTGGTGTGCATTGGATAATACTAATGCTGGCGGTACTGTACCTTTTAAGTCTTGTAACTTGTAAAGTACTTGATAAAAAATACTTAATTATTGTAGTGTTTTGGAAAACTCTTGAGATAAGCTATAAGAAAATCTATTAAAAATTAGGAGATTCCATTAAAAAATTTCAAGTTGACCTTCAAAATAATCTCTAAATTTGACACCAAAGTCAAAGTCAAGATCACCGTCGAGAGTATCTTATTTTAAACTTTACAACTTTTGCAGGAAACATTTTTCTCTTAAATGATTTATTTTCAAAATATTTGATCGTTCCGGAATTTTGGAGACACTCTTATAATTTGACTTCTATCCTTTACATTTGATCCCCGTGTAAAGGTCAAATTATCTCACCACCAGATATCCTTTTTGTACGCTAAAACACTTATACAATCATTTTTATTTTTTTAGAAACCCACTTCAATTGCTTCGCGTAATCGTGGGAAAATTATTTCGATCTTGAGATGACCCCCGAAGGTCATCCTGATCCTTCATTAAGACCACATGTTTGAACGTGAAATTTTCCGCTCTTTCCATTTCTGATATCAAAAATAGATAGTCCCATTTAAAAAAATCAAGTTGACCTTGATTTGACCTTTTAATTTGACCTGAAGGTCAAGTTCAAAAGCACCATGCACACGTTCAAATCCTAAAATTTGTGTATTTAACTTTTTTTCAAAATGTCATCCTCACGAGATATCCAGGAGTACCCATACTTTTAGAACACCCCGTATATATATAATATATAATAATATAATAATATATTAATGAATATTTTCTTACAAACTTTTACTCAAAAGTTTGAAATAATATTATCAAAACTGCTATAGTATAATAAAAACAGTTTATATTAGTAATGAGCCATAGCAATAAATGTTTACGAATAAAAATTATATATATTTATTTGTGTGTATATGTATATATATATATATATACATATATGTGGGTGCACGCGTGCGTGCGTGTGTGCGCATGTGTGCGTGCGCGCGTGTGTGCGTGTGCGCGCGTGTGTGCGTGTGCGCGCGCGCGCATGTGTGTGTGTGTGTGAAAGTGTGTGTAAACAGGGTGAGAAAAAATATGGGACTGGTAAAATATCTCTGAAAGACTGATGACCTTACCTCAATATTTTTATGAACAAAATATTGAAAGGAATTATTTGGTATAAAGTAAACGGATAGTTGTCTTTAAGAGAAAGTATATAATTTACAACTTTATACCAGCCAAAATTAGATTCTTTATAAAAACATGTCATGATTTGATAGAGATCCATACACATTAAAACAAGTTATGCTCAAAAAATAAAAAAATGAAATTTGGCCGGTATTGTAGCAGCTATATATTTTTTCTTAATAACAACTTATAATATAACAAAAAAATGTTAAATAAAAAATTCTAGAACTCAAGTTGGTGTACTTGATGGTGACATTGAACTTGACCAAGAAATATAATTTAAGTCATTTCAAGGTCAACTTTATTTTTTTTAATAGAATCACTATACATACTTGTTTACATAAATTAATTCCTGACAATATTCTGCATAAAATGTTATAAGAGTAAGATAATCAAAAAATTAATAATTTACGAGATATTTTATACTTTAGTTCAATGTAATCTTACATTAATTATGAAATATTTCATAAAATTTTCATTTTTGACCTTACTTTAATTTTATGCACAAAATAATGTGAGGAATCGACTGAAGTAAAGAAAAGATATAGTTGTTATTAAGAAAAAAATATATAGCTACTACAATACTTACCAAAATTATATTACTTTTTGATTTTTTGAGCATAACTTGTTTTAATGTGTACGGATCTCTATCAAATTATAACATGTTTTGATAAAGAATATAATTTGGCCGGTATAAAGTTGTAAATTATATACTTTCTCTCTTAAAAACAACTATCCGTTTTCTTTATACCAATTGATTTCTCTCAATATTTTGTTTATAAAAATATTGAGGTAAGGTCATCGGAAAATGAATATTTACAGTTTATGTAAGATTATATTAATCTAACGTAAAGATATCTCATAAATTATACACTTTTTGACTATTCTATTTTTATAACTTTTTAGATGAAATATTACGAGAAATCGATTTATGTAAAAAAATATGGTGGTTCTATTTAAAAAAATATAGTGGAATTTGAAATGACTTAAATTTCATTTTTAAGTCAAGATGAATGTCACTATCAAGTGCCCTAATTTAAATCCTACAACTTTTGCATATAACAATTTTTTATATATTTCACTCTTTTTGAGATATTTTACCGGTTATATACTTTTTCCTCACTTTGTACACACACACACACACATACACACTCGCATGCACTCACGTACAAGCACACATATACGCACGCACGCATGCACGCGCGCACGCACACGCACACGCATTTCAGTTTTTAAAAATTTAATATCTTAAAACAAAATCACATGTCAATTTTAGTATTTTTCTTCAATCAAAGTAGAACACGACAATTTGCTTTTAACAACTAACTTGTATCGTTGAGTGAAGATATGTGTTAAAAACCAAAGTTACGCGACCTGCTATACTATTTTTACTAGTCACGGTGACAGAATAAACTAAAGTGCAATATATGTCGTTATATTTATTACTTCAGATATCTCGATGTGCTATTTCTTTTTGATGCGATATCACTGATGAACCGTTATCATTTAACATTGCTTATCTTATACATGCAATTCTTAATAACGACATTATTACGTTGTTTATATTAGTCTCTTGTTTGCTTAAGAGTCAGTATTTTTGTATAAAATGGTAGAATAATACATTTTGTAGAATTTTTAGATTGTCATTGATTAATAGTGTAGTTTTTATTTCTAATTAACATATATAGTTACAATTAATTTCATGAAATTTATGCAGAATAATAGCAGCAAACATTAGTATAAAACATGACACGTAAAACGTATGGATATAAAAAACAATTTGCTCTCTGTAAAGGTAGTAGTAAAATAGTAGTCTATAATAAAAATATCAATACGTACTTATTAATTCACAATGAATAATAATACTTAATGTTAGAACAAATTCTCTTGCTAATTTTAACAACTTTTGCAGGAAACATTTTTCTCTTAAATGATTTATTTTCAAAATATTTGATCGTTCCGGAACTTTGGAGACACTCTTATAATTTGACTTCTATCCTTTACATTTGATCCCCGTGTAAAGGTCAAATTATCTCACCACCAGATATCCTTTTTGTACGCTAAAACACTTATACAATCATTTTTATTTTTTTAGAAACCCACTTCAATTGCTTCGCGTAATCGTGGGAAAATTATTTCGATCTTGAGATGACCCCCGAAGGTCATCCTGATCCTTCATTAAGACCACATGTTTGAACGTGAAATTTTCCGCTCTTTCCATTTCTGATATCAAAAATAGATAGTCCCATTTAAAAAAATCAAGTTGACCTTGATTTGACCTTTTAATTTGACCTGAAGGTCAAGTTCAAAAGCACCATGCACACGTTCAAATCCTAAAATTTGTGTATTTAATTTTTTTTTCAAAATGTCATCCTTACGAGATATCCAGGAGTACCCATACTTTTAGAACACCCCGTATATATATAATATATAATAATATAATAATGTATTAATAAATATTTTCTTACAAACTTTTACTCAAAATAAATGATAATCCTTAAGAGTCGCCAGTAATAAATAATGAAAATCTCTCCTCCAATTTTAAAGTCGACAAGACTGGCAATAATTTATTTTAAATAATTAGTTAAATTACAAGACATCACATTTTACTCAAAAGTTTGAAATAATATTATCAAAACTGCTATAGTATAATAAAAACAGTTTATATTAGTAATGGGCCATAGCAATAAATGTTTACGAATAAAAATTATATATATTTATTTGTGTGTGTATATGTATATATATATATATATATATATATAGATATATATATATATATATATATATATATATATATGAAAAAGGTTCAGTGTAAATTTACATGTCTAAGTGAACTGTGTGGTTCCTATTTTTACTTTTCAAGACTGTCATATTTGCTAAGTTACAACTGACAGTTACTTGATTACTTCGTTATTTTAATATGTAATTTAATTCAACAGCCTGAAGAGGACCTAATTGATGGTCGAAACGTCGTTTCTTTTTTAATAAAAGAATTCTAACTTTGCCGGTGTTGGTCAATCAATTCTTGCCCAATTTGGTTTTTAAAAATTCAACTGGCGATCAGATCACGTTTTCCGTTAATTAATAATAATGTCGTCTATAAAATTAATTATAAACTACTGTGAAGTTTCTTATGTCGGGCAAACCAAAAGAAAATTACGTACTAAATTAAAAAAGCATATGAATAACATAAAATTTGATTTTTCCAAGCATTCAGTGGTCTCTGAACATATTGTAAATAAAAAACATGCTTTTAATTGGGATAACGTTAAAATACTTGATATGGAATCAAACTACCATAAAAGACTTATCTCGGAGATGATACACATAAAGGAACAAAAGCATGGTATAAATAATAATACAGACACCGAATTGCTTGACAACGCTTATTTTGACATTCTAGAAGAAATAGCGAATTTTTAGACTGATTAAAATGTTTATGTTTTGCGGCTTGACACCTATATATTCAACTTTTTTAACTGACAAAATTGATTTTGACGTAACTAGCAATTTAGCGTCCAATATTAATTTTAATTGATCTTTTTTAACTGACTTGACATCAATCAAGTACTAAATTCAACAACAATTAGAGGCATTGTCATCTTAATTTATTCGGGACAATTGTAAGTAATAAGTAATTAATTTTTAATTTTTACATATACATAAATTGATTTTTATTTTATAATATAACTTTTTTAAATTCAGTTTATAATAACACACATATTAAATAACTTGGAAGAAATGGACACGGCTATTGCCAAACTGATAGCTTTTCGCCGACTAACAATGAGTGATCGGTTTGGACGAATGTTTAAGTGCCACTCCGAGGTTTTAATAATAAAACAAATTTTTTTATTAGCCGGATAAATTATTTTAATTTGATTTTTGCTTCTAATTGAGATTTTTCGCGTTGAACTATATGTAATTATTTCATTGTATTGTTAACGTATTTCGCCTTTTAATTTTGACATAATTATCTAATTTATTTTGACTATTGTATTGCGATTCTTTATTAGAATATTTTTTATTATTTTTTTAGGACTAAATATAGTTCGAAACGTTTATTGTAATTAAGAATATTAGAGTTTATTTTGTAATTAGTTTTAAAATTAAAATTTTTCCAAGAATAAAAATTTTTTATGAGCTCGTTTCACATGGCCTTGTAATATTAAGTAAGTTATCATTGTGTTATGCTCATTATTAATAAAGTTCAAACTGTCATATTTAATACTTGTTTTTATCATTAACATTCTTCAATAATATAAATTTAACGTATAAGACGGGCAACAAGAGCCAAATCGCGGATGACAATGCGTTATCCTAACGAAACTAAATAATTTTCCGTTAGAAATAAATACCGGTGCACAAGGCACCAAATTTTACTTGGACACGGCCAAGATTTTAAATATGAAATAATCTCATATTTTGAGATTTAATTTCAATACCTCTTTAACCCCCCCACGGAAAAATAAATAAATGAATGCAAGAGAAAAATATAGATCCGAAAATCGCTGAATCGGGAATCGAACCCGAGACCTTTCGCTTGCCGGGCGACTGCTCTTCCAGCTGAGCTATTCAGATCCTTTCGATTCTATACTTTTCTCTGTTATATGTATTAATGTTGGTAAACAAACGCATTTTTTAAGCCAGCGTGTATCAAACATAAGAGTTTTAACAAGGCTCTGTAATATAAATATAAATTTAACGTATAAGACGGGCAACAAGAGCCAAATCGCGGATGACAATGCGTTATCCTAACGAAACTAAATAATTTTCCGTTAGAAATAAATACCGGTGCACAAGGCACCAAATTTTACTTGGACACGGCCAAGATTTTAAATATGAAATAATCTCATATTTTGAGATTTAATTTCAATACCCCTTTAACCCCCCCACGGAAAAATAAATAAATGAATGCAAGAGAAAAATATAGATCCGAAAATCGCTGAATCGGGAATCGAACCCGAGACCTTTCGCTTGCCGGGCGACTGCTCTTCCAGCTGAGCTATTCAGATCCTTTCGATTCTATACTTTTCTCTGTTATATGTATTAATGTTGGTAAACAAACGCATTTTTTAAGCCAGCGTGTATCAAACATAAGAGTTTTAACAAGGCTCTGTAATATAAATATAAATTTAACGTATAAGACGGGCAACAAGAGCCAAATCGCGGATGACAATGCGTTATCCTAACGAAACTAAATAATTTTCCGTTAGAAATAAATACCGGTGCACAAGGCACCAAATTTTACTTGGACACGGCCAAGATTTTAAATATGAAATAATCTCATATTTTGAGATTTAATTTCAATACCCCTTTAACCCCCCCACGGAAAAATAAATAAATGAATGCAAGAGAAAAATATAGATCCGAAAATCGCTGAATCGGGAATCGAACCCGAGACAAGGAAGAGCAGTCGCCCGGCAAGCGAAAGGTCTCGGGTTCGATTCCCGATTCAGCGATTTTCGGATCTATATTTTTCTCTTGCATTCATTTATTTATTTTTCCGTGGGGGGGTTAAAGGGGTATTGAAATTAAATCTCAAAATATGAGATTATTTCATATTTAAAATCTTGGCCGTGTCCAAGTAAAATTTGGTGCCTTGTGCACCGGTATTTATTTCTAACGGAAAATTATTTAGTTTCGTTAGGATAACGCATTGTCATCCGCGATTTGGCTCTTGTTGCCCGTCTTATACGTTAAATTTATATTTATATTACAGAGCCTTGTTAAAACTCTTATGTTTGATACACGCTGGCTTAAAAAATGCGTTTGTTTACCAACATTAATACATATAACAGAGAAAAGTATAGAATCGAAAGGATCTGAATAGCTCAGCTGGAAGAGCAGTCGCCCGGCAAGCGAAAGGTCTCGGGTTCGATTCCCGATTCAGCGATTTTCGGATCTATATTTTTCTCTTGCATTCATTTATTTATTTTTCCGTGGGGGGGTTAAAGAGGTATTGAAATTAAATCTCAAAATATGAGATTATTTCATATTTAAAATCTTGGCCGTGTCCAAGTAAAAATTTGGTGCCTTGTGCACCGGTATTTATTTCTAACGAAAAATTATTTAGTTTCGTTAGGATAACGCATTGTCATCCGCGATTTGGCTCTTGTTGCCCGTCTTATACGTTAAATTTATATTTATATTACAGAGCCTTGTTAAAACTCTTATGTTTGATACACGCTGGCTTAAAAAATGCGTTTGTTTACCAACATTAATACATATAACAGAGAAAAGTATAGAATCGAAAGGATCTGAATAGCTCAGCTGGAAGAGCAGTCGCCCGGCAAGCGAAAGGTCTCGGGTTCGATTCCCGATTCAGCGATTTTCGGATCTATATTTTTCTCTTGCATTCATTTATTTATTTTTCCGTGGGGGGGTTAAAGGGGTATTGAAATTAAATCTCAAAATATGAGATT